CTGAGTTGGCTTTGCTTTCTGACCTGCTGCCATGCCGGCCCCCGGCAACCGATTCACACCCGCGGTCAGGTACGCCGTGATCTGGGCCTGCGCAGCCATCCAGTCGTGGCGCCAGCCCGGCAACGTCCATGCCACCTTTGCAACCTGGCTGCTCGGCCACGCCTATGCGACGTGCCGCATCTGTGTGCGGTCCATCAGCGCGTCCCACCTCGTCAGCCAGAAGATGAGCTACACGATGGGAACCCTGATCGCGTCGACGTGTGTCCTGATGATGGCGTTTCCCCGCCCTGTGTCCATGACCCTGCTGGCGTGGTACGTCTGCTTACCCCTAGTGTTTGGTGGCCTGGCTGCGCCGCTTCACGTGCACAACTGGTCCAAGGCCAGCCGTCAAAAGTTCGCGTCGTTTTACCCATTCGCGTACTACCGCGCCGTCGTCTAGTCAGAGGTGCCCCTCTTTCGCCTCTCTAGCTGCCATGAACATCTGTCCCAAGACGACTGCTCCTGCCCCCTAGATCGCCCATGCCTTCTCTTCAAGATCTCCTAGCCGCCGCTGCGCGCCAACGCACACTGCATGTTGTCGCGCTTTTCGAGCGCACAGTCACGCCAGCTGATGCTAGGACGGCGCGCGTGCTGAGGCGGCGCATTTGCTTCTGTGGCTTTTATGACTTTCCCCCCAACATATGACCTCACACTTTGGGCAACGTCTGTGTATCCGATAAACCGTGAGGCGTGGATTTCCAAGATATCCCTTCTGCCAAGTGCAGTGGAGAGAACTCTGTCTGGGGCATGCCATCCTTGCAAAATTACACCACTCCGTCCAAATCAGCCGCAACTCCTTGCCAGTTGCTTGCTGCTGGGCACGCCTGTGTGCCAAGGCCCACTGTGCATGGACAGACGAGCCATATTGCTGCCGTTACGTGCAACACAGTGTTTCGCCAAGATCCGCACCACCGAGCCCTTCTAGACAATTCAGCATTACCCTGCCACCACCTCCCAAGCCGCACCCACATTCACCACCTCCATCACCCCACCCACGCGTTGCGCCCGCCGGCCAAGACGCTCAAATGCTGTTACAGTCTTCCCCCACTACAGTGAACCCATCGGGGGTTGGCGGCACGTTCGCTATAGCCGGTTTGTTCACTATTGCGAGTAGTGATTTTTGGCAGCTGCTGGTTCGCTGTGGCGGGGGACGTCACAAAAATCAGCATTGGAGCGCTGCTTTGCACTGTATGCCAGCAGCCACATAGTATTGTTTACCAGAATCAGCTCAATGGGGCCAAAGGGGTGGTAGGCTGCCTCGCCGGCTGCCTTGCCGGCTGGATACGCAGCTTGCGCTGCAGCAGGGACGCCTTTCTTGCTTGGTGGCCTGTGTAGACGTGGCTCAGCCCAAGTTTTGAGCTCTGAAGTGTTAGCAATTGTGGCAAACAGCACGTGAAGATCACTGTGATGCGGCCAACTGAACGTGGGTCATGCTAGTGTGGGCGTCACTGCGGCGCAGTCACCGGTGACACTGTCGCTCTGGTGAGCCAGACCCTCCAGTAGAGCAGGCTGCGGCCTTCGTTAAGCTCAGAAATCAGCTCCATGAGAAGTGACAGATGCTGCGGTGAAAGGGGGTATGGTGTGTACGCAGGAGCTGGTGGCTGCCTGGATGCACATGGCGCACACGTGGCGGATGGGCCCCATGCAGTCCCACATGTACAGGCGCCGACCACAGCGCGCCTGCATATAGTGAATTTGAGAGGCCTGTGGCGTTCGCTATAGCCGTAGTGAATATTCGTTGTGGCGGGGTGGATTTGTGTGGCGAGCGATCGGGGGTAGCGGCGGCGTTCGCTGTAGGCAGGGTTTTCGCTATGGCGGGGTTCGCTGTAGCGGGGGAAGACTGTACAAGTTTTTTTGTCATGATCATTGTCGGTTCGGAATCGTGCTTGAGCCTTGCATGGGACGACACAGTCCTTGTTGGGCTCCTGGACGAGACAGAGCTACGCAGGTGGGGTGTGTGACTGGACGCCGGAGGGCAATATACCAGAGCAGCTGAGTTTGGAAACTTTGAGGGCAGATGATAAGCAGCAAGAATAAAACCTACTGTGACGGTTGCAGCCAGCTGAACTTGAAAATGCACCACCATCTGTGTGTTTGTGCAACTTCATTTCCTTCACAAAGAACTGGACAATCATGCAAACAAGCAGCACCAATGATACAGCTATCATGGCAGCAATGTACTGCAGTTGCGTTGGCCGAGCCGGTCAGTCACTTTCCTCGTTCTCCACGTTCCCCATCCATCCGGCCATCAAGAGCACGGTCGCAAGCAGAACTGTGACATGGAGGGTGGGATTGAGGTGCGATTGCAAATTAGCCTCGGCGCTGTCAGGAGCAACAGCATCACTGGGCGACGCACACTCGTTCTTCCTCACCAGAACTTCTCTCCAAACCTCCTTATGTGACCCATCTGTCAATGATCCACACGCACCGCGCCCCTTGCAAGGCCGCCGCACACAACCCACCCAAGGCCAGATTCCAGATGGGGCCGCACGCGTCGATGGGCCCGCCCAACGCCGGCGCGCCGGGCATGGACGTGCGTATGGCTGGCAGTGCAAACAGGAGCCCAACAGCCACGGCCACGTCGTGGGCCGCGACCGGCCGCGGGTGGACCAAGACGACGTCCACAGCAAACTGAGGCGTGCGTGGTGAGGGCGGTTGGGGCGTGAGGTGACGGCAGCAAAACAGATGAGCATGAAAGCCGGGGAAGTCGGAGAAATCATGGTGCGAAAGGCATTCCCTTGGCCAGCCGCAACCAGGGGCTGGTCAAGGTGGCCAGAGGAGACATGCAGCACGTCTGGGGCAAAGGCGGCTTGGAGCAAACAGCTGGGCCCCAGAGCTCCGGACTTGGCGCCTCGGTGCGTCCACGCTCACCGTCAGCAACGCCGCCGATATGATCCAGCTGAGCCCCAACATCAGCCAAACGAGGGACTGGACCGTTTGGGGCCGCTCCAGCCGAAACTGCGGCGGTGTGGCAAGGCGGACGGGACGTCAGGGGTGGCAGTGTCTGATGAGCGGCGAGATAGCTTGCTGAAGCGCAGCTCTGCGTGAGGACCTGCAACTGTGACCGCACATGGAAATGGCGGAAACTGCTAGAAAGATTCGCGCGCAGCCCCATGCTTCACTGCGCGGACCGCACCGCGAGCATCAGTATCGAGCGCTGGTATGGCGCGCCGCTGGCGGTGTCCTCCTGGACGTATGAATACGTCAACTCCTGGGTGGGTGCGGTGACGTCAGAGTGACGTCAGGCACGATGTACTGCCTAGGCCGCTTCTCCACCCCATGTTTATTAGAGGAGGTGAGCAGTGCGGCCGAAAAGCGCTGCGGCTGAGGGCGCGAGGCGGTCCGCCTCGCCCTGCCTTGGTGGACAATCAATATGAGCAAGGTGTACTGTACCGCTGCCCAGCAGCGGCACGCCATCCAGGCAGTACAGAGGGGCGCAGAATGCTGGTGGTGGCGTGCTGGAATCACGCTCGAGTGAGCGCGGCTGGTGGCTTCATTCAGCGATGACGCAGCCAGGACGCTTCCGCCCACCGGGACGACCGTCGCCGCCCACTGTGTCATGTCCATCGACGACCGCCACACCACGGGCACGGCGGCGCCGGTGACCGGGCCGCTGCTGTTGGCGGGGTTTGACTCCAGTGAGACCTTGAGCACCAGCCTCAAGAAGGCTGTGTCGCGGGGGTAGGTGAGCTGCAGCGTTTCTGTCGCCATTTCTGCGTCTGCGAGGACGCGGTTGTGCATGGTTTGCGCGTTTGCGCGTTCAGGTGGGGCGGCAGGGGTGAATGCGCGCGCCAGGGAGGAAGGGATGCGCCAGCACTCAACCGCCATGCATACCCAGGCACCCGAAATAAACCGCCGGGGGAGGCGTCTTGTGCAGGACCGGGGCAACGACCCTTGGGCGTCCGAGAACGCACTGTAACTGAGCGTTGGCAGGGGCATGTTGTTGTTGATGGTGGTCTCCTGGGGGGGGGGGGAGTGGTTGGGTAGGCAGCGGTGCAGGCACATCGGTACACGACCACGCGCACTTTCCTTGATGTCGCAGTGAACTGCAGGGCCGCAGGCAGCAGATTGATTGGTGGCAGGACGTCCCTTTGCGCTGCTGTGAGCAGCTTCAGGGCCTGGCTGAGCCCTCTCGAGCGCCTCATCGCTCCCTCGGGCCCACCGCTGCATCCGCGGCGTTGCCAATTGACACCCGCAGCGTCTGGGAGGGCCCGGCCCGCAGCAAGCGGAGCCTGTCACCGGCGAAGCGCCCTGGCGGTGCGGGGTGCCATCAAAGGTTGCGAGCTGGGAGGTCAGCTGCATTTCAGGGGAAGCTTCCTGGCGGACAGGTGCTTGGGGACAGGAGGGTGGTCGCCCACACGATCAAGATGCTCAACCCCAGCCGAAGCAGCCCAGGACTTGGGTCCATGGCGACCCACTGCTTACCGCTGCCTTCAATGACGATGTTCGTCCTGCAACAATGAAAAGGGTCGACACAGGCATGAGAAGGGGCAGGTTGAAGCGTCGTTGCCGGGCGCATGTGGAGAGATGGGCGGGCGAACGCCTCCGACGAGCCAACATCACGGAAGGGAGCCAAGGCCTGTGAGCACGCGTCCTGCCCAAGCCAGCTTCCTCCGCGCCCCACCTGACTGTTTTGTGGTCTCCAGGTCCGTCTTGGAACCTGCCGGTTGCATTACGGGCACCGCTGTGGGTGCTGCGGGGCGAGCTTGCCAGGACAGCGCCACCCGCGACAAGCAACGCCAAATGCATCAAGCATTCAGGCAAACAGCCTTTGACTGCTGTATGAAGGTAATCACCAGCCGTTTTGCCGTGGTGTGCAGCTTGCCTTGCTTGAAAAGCATGGGCTTCCTGCCTGCCTCCCCGCCCCTACTCTGCTGACCCCCAGCCCTCCCACCCCTCAAAGCACCCTGCCCCTGCCCCAACCTTCCCCTCCAACGCCATCCTCTCCCAGCCAAGCCCACCATCCACGTGCCACAATGGCATCGGGCGCGTTGTTCAGGTGCGTGAAGCTCCTGCCGCCGGGATCCTGCGTCAGCGACTCATGGTACCGCTCGCAGCCCGCAACCGCCTGCGATGGCGGCGCCCCAGGTCCTGCTGGGGTTATGCACACGTCGGCGGTGCGGCCGCTGCCCCCGATGTTCTGCCATTTGTGGGTCTCGGATGTGGGGAAGACGATAGGCAGCACGGCGGCCAGGAAGAGGGGGCCGCAGCAGACCACCAGCCCTGGCCGAATCAGCAGGCGCGTGCGGCGGCCGCTGCGGAGGCCGTGGTACGCGCGCTTGAAACGCGAGAAAACCTGAGACTTGCGCCAGCGGCCGCTGCGCCGCGCAGCGGGCAGCAGCTCATCGCTGCCGTCTTTGCCGTCGTCGTGGGGCTTGTCACCGCCAGGCATGCTGCCAAACCGGGGACTCAACCACCGCAGTTCGAGCGGAGCGTGCTGAGCGTCAACCCCTGGTCGCGGTGCCGCTGGGCCTGCCGAGTGCGGGGGTGAGCCTGAAGCTGTAATCGTCCTGAACAACAAATTGCATTTGCAGCGAAGTGTTGCACGCCGTGCAGCACAGATCGTGATTTCTGCTGCCCTTTTTTCCGTGTGGTGATTTTGAAATTCTGCAATGGTTGTGTATTGGATGTCCTCGACACGGCTCAGTTGCGTTTCACGACGTCGGGCCACGAGGTGACCGGGGCCCCGCGATCAGCGTCCGTCGTCCGGATCGTGCTTCAATGTGAAGTTGTGTAAGAGGATCAATATATGGCGTATACCTGGCTCGTGTCGTCCGTGTCACCAGGGACATAATCAACAACAACATCAACATTTCCTGTGAATGCATGGACTGCCAAGTGTTTTGACCCAGCCTACCAGGTGACATTGACCCAGACAAGCGTAAGTGTGTTACAAGCCTTTGCTGTTCAGGTGGCCACCGGTTCTTCGGATAAGCTACTCAAGCTGTCCAGCCGGGCCGCCACTGCTGTGGACATCGCCCATCTCGGAGCCGATGAGCACGAGCATGCAGTTTCATGTCGTTACATGTCCCATGCAGGGGTTGCACACGGGCCCGTAAAGGTTGCAGAGGGACGGCCTGCTCCCAAGGATCCCCCCAGACACGCGGTGCCCTGTCCTGTTGCAGCGCAGCCCTTGATCTAAGCATATACAAGTGTTGAGGGCACATGCGAACCATGCCGCTGGCCACACGCAGGCTGCCAGCATGCGTCCCTTCAGAGGCTGATCAGCTGAGTTCCAGGTACTTGCGCATCTTCGCCACCTGCACATTCAAAACGAGCAGTGACAAAAGGCATCACCCTTCACATATGCCACGCATGAGATGCCAGGCCGTGTTTGCCAAACTCAGTCCCAAGCAGCGCGCATTCAGGGTGCAATCGCTGCACAGCCCCACCCCCTCACCAAGGACCACGGCATCCCCTAATCCCTGTCCTGACGCCCGCACCTGCTCCAGGAGGCTCCGCTTGCTGGCGCCGCCTTCGGTGTCGCGCGCGTCCGCGCTGCGAGCAAAGTCCCAGACCTGTGGCGTGCGGGAAAGCCACACAGCTACGTTCGAATTCCCCGGACAGCAGGCGTTGAGGCGAGGGGTGCGACCCGGGGTGGCGCTGGATCCGACGTCTCGGCTGCATCAACGTTCATGCAATCGTCGGGTAGCCGTGAATTGGGGCGCACGCATCCCCTCCGCAGGACCTCCCAAAGCCCTCTCACAAAAGCCATTGCAAGCTGCCTCCCCAGTCAGGCTGCCTACAAAGCAGCACTCCCGAGGACCCCAGGGACAATCAGGCGGCCATGTATCTCCGGCCAAGGTGTCACTGCTTGGACAACGTCACCCACCGCGGCCACATCATCGTCGAAGAGGGGGTGGATGGTCCGCAGGTCCGCGGGCGTGAGGTCGGACAGGGCGCAGCCGCGGTCCTCGGCCATCTTCACGGCGGCGCCGCTGATGTGGTGCGTCTCGCGGAAGGGCACGTTCTGCGCAAGGCGGCGCGAGGCGAGAGACCGGGCGGAATGTGGGCGTGTGTGCCCTGGCTGTGCTGACGTGCTTCCGCCTGAGCTCATGCGGTGTTCAGTCTGTTGACGGCCAAGTATGTGTCTCTGCGGCTGCCTGTCGGACCCAAATGTCTCGCGCCGCCGGCGGCGCCGGTGCTGACGAGGCGCCCGGCACAGTCACGGTCCTCCAGCTACCGCCAGTCTGGCCTTGATCGCAGCAAGCAGACAGCGAGCGGCGAAAAGGGTTGCCCCAGAGGAACCTTACCTTGCGCACGAGGTACTCTGCCAGGTCAGTGGCCAGCATCTCAGATGACAGGCCCTGAGGGGAGCAAGGATGTTGAGGGGGGAGGGTTTCAAGGCGGGAGGGTTGGCGCGGGTCCCGGGGAACAGCACAAGCAAAGTGTGCGCGTCGACGGACCAAGCAGGAACTTCAAGGCTTGACGCCGCAAGGCGACAGCAGCTCGACACCTGGTGAGTGCGGCTTGCTACATGCATGCAAAAGCATCCCTGTAAGCGGCAGGCCTGCAGGCTATCTTGCTTGCCAGCCAACATGCCAGCCAAGCAACCCAAAATGCAACAATGACGGGTTGGACATTTGGGTTTCGAACGATACAATGTTGACACTTGGGTTGGAAACACAAGGTGCCTCCCCCCACCTTCATCATGGCCTCGGGCTTGATGATGATGGTGCTCAGCACCCCCGTGGCGATGCGTGTGCTGTCGTGAAGCGAGTCCACCGCGTCAAACATCAGGTCCCAGCACTCCTGCAAGGAGGGAGGCATAGCACGTATGACGGGGGCATGTGGGTGGAATGCAGGCTCTTGATCAAGGGTGTGTTAGTGGATAGGAGTGCATGTTTGTGTGCGCGTGTGGGCCTTGTCTGTATGTATGTGCGGCTGCGTGGTTGCGTATGTGTACACACCCTTGTGTGTGTTTGCGTTTGTTTGTTTGTTTGTGTGTGTGTACGTGCACGCGCGCGCGCGCGTGTGTGTGTGTGTGTGTGTGTGTGTGTGTGTGTGTGTGTGTGTGTTTGCACGCCCCTGTGTGTGCGTGACATGCTTGCAGTGACTACCTTTGTGCTGACCAGGCGCCCGACCCGCCCCTCCTACCTGGAAGTCCTTGTTGTATGTGGTGGGCGTGCCCTTGAGCACAGCCATCACGCCCATCAGGTTGCCCTGCATCTTGCCAGCCTTGCCCCTGGCAATCGGTCGCGGCGTTGTGGTTGTGGGAGGCAGGCAGCACTCAAGAGCTGCGTGCCACCCCGATTTGCACATCGCCACCAGCCAGCCCGCCCCAAGACCCAGGCTTGTTGTTGCTCAGCCAGGGGGCTTGAGGGCGGGCATAGCGCGCCCAAAAGCAGGCAATGTGCTGCCCGCTTTGAGCTGCGGCGCCCCACCGCTGCGCACGGCCCTGTGGGCAGAGCGGACCGCCCACACAAGGGCTGGTGCCGCGATTGCAGCGGAGGTGCAGCCGCGCAGGGGCGCGTGCGGCTGTGCGGCGAGCCGCCCCCACCTGATGAGCTCGAGGGCGTCCGGGTTCTTCTTCTGCGGCATGAGGGACGACCCCGTGGCGTAGGCGTCGCTGCACTGCACGAAGCCAAACGCGCCGCTGCTGTAGATGATCAGGTCCTCGGCCCAGCGGGAGAGGTGCACTAGGTGGAGCGCGCAGAAGAAGACCGTCTCCGCCACAAAGTCGCCTGGGGGGGGGGGGGGGGGTGCGGACGCGTTGCGCCGAGGCTGTTTGAGAGGGGCATTTACAAGGTGTGGATTTGATAAGCTTGCCGGGTTTGGGACCAGAGTCGATGTTCTAGATGGGATGAGCGATGGGTGGTCTCTCACATGAGAAAGCGAGTAATTTGTGGACGTCAGCACGGGGTGCAATCGGGTGGAGGGTAGGGGTGAGTGCTGTTCAAGGCATGTGTGAGTGGGGCCCTGGCACTGATGCAAGGGATACGACCCTGCCGGCAGCTTGGGGTCGTGCGCGGGGTGGAAAAGGGCGGGCGCAAAACGCTGGGGCCGAGGGGCGGTGCTCACGGTCGCTGACTGCGTCCATGCTGTTGGGGCACACGCCTCCGATGAAGCCCAGCTCCTCAGCAATGAACTGGGGTCAAACATTTTGTGGGAGGAGGGGGGTTTGTGACGGCAGGCAATGGATCAATCTAAGGACACATGGGATGAGATCTTTTGTGTTGTCTGTGGTGGTGAGGATGGGCCCGAGCAGTCGGGGGCCTTTGCAGGGTTGCAAGAAGCCCTGGCGGGGCTCCTGGAGCGCCGCTGCGCTCCCCTGCCGCCGTTGCAGTCACCTGCCGCCACCCCGCCCTCCGGCACGGCAGCCGCCGCCTCAGCCGCTGCGTGCTGCCAGCGAGCGATGACAATCCATGGCACACATCCCACGCTCACAATTTCGATGCTGGTGCCTCACAAGCTCACGTGCGTGCACGCATACACACCCACACCCACACCCACACCCACGTGCGCAAGATACACAAACAAACAAACACACACACACACACACACAAACATGCACACACACACATACACGCACCTGGCGGTCCACCAGGAAGGGGTTGCCGGCCAGGGCGCCGGATCCCAGCGGCAGCGTGGCCACGCGCGGCAGCAGATCCCTGCATGCGAGCAGGCGACGACGCCAGGGGCCCAGGCGCAGGGGCGGACATGATCGGGGCCGAGGTGAGTGCGGCAAGTGCGGCGCACGCGTGCGACGGCTGCTGAATATGCGGCCCACGTCACTGCTGCGACGCATCAGCGGGAAGAGGATGAGGTCATGCCTCCCATCCCCTGCATCTGTCTTTGCCCGCATCCCTCGGCCGATTGACTGGCAGATGCTGCTGCCAGCGGGCTGATTCTCAGCGCTACAGCAGCCCCCCATGCCACTTTGTCCTACGGCGACCCCAGCTACGACACAACCCCTGCTCCCCCAGCTTGCCCCAGCTTCCCCCAGCTTCCCTCAGCTTCCCCCTAGCTTCCCCCTTGATTCTCCGGACCCCTGCGCCGCCCCCGCCCACCCGAGCCGCATGTCGTCGCGCTGCCACGACGCGCAGTGCGCCATCAGCCAGTGGCCCCAGCGCACGGGCTGCGCGTTCTGCAGGTGGGTGAAGCCCGGCATCAGCACGTCCGCCTCGGCCTCGGCCCTGTCGCAGGCCACGCGGATCAGCTCGCGCAGGGCTTTGCGGATGACCTGCGGCGGGGCGCGACATGGGGAGTGCGGCGGTGGGGCGGTGGGGTTGCGGATGGTGTCGTGGATGTGCGTGGGCAATTTGGTGCGATGTGGTGGTGTGGTGTGGTGTGGTGGGGTGTGGTGTGGTATGGTGTGGTGTGGTGTGGTGGGGTGT